CCTTGGTGATGCCCTGGACAGCAGCAACTCCATGCAAACCATCCAGAAGACCACCACCCGCAGGATAGTGGACGGCAAAGTGGTGTCTGAGACCAATGACACCAAAGTTCTGAGACACTGAGGCAGTAGAGCAGCATGTCCTTATACCAATAAAGAGTTCAGAGTTCACTGGACGTCAGTGTGTCTTGACTGTTTTCATATTTGTGTGCAAATGCCCTGACCCAACAGTCCCATCTCTGATCAGGCAGAAGTCACCTCTGACCCCAGGGTTTCATGTGGATAAGGAAGTATAGGGAAGAGGTTTCTGGGTTGGTTCTCAAACACTTTCTCAGAGAACGAGGAGGGAGAGATAAATGGGAGGGGTAACAGGGAATGGGGAAAACTACAGTGGAATTATGGAATCTTCACGTTGCAGAGACCCAGTGACTAGAAGACCCCCGTCTGACCAGGAGGAAGTGGGGCCCAGCACAGAGGGCAGATCATATAATTGGCCTCCCCTGCCCTTCTCTCCATCCTGGACCCTCTGCCCAGCGCTCTTACCCATGCTTTTTCCTCCAATCTCACCCTACATTTGTCCCCTCAAATCTATGGTCCCCTACGTGTGTTCATTCACACAACAGGATATGATTTTAAAATGCTAGAAGTCTGGCTAGAATTGGGTAAATGTGATCAGAGATTAGGGAAGTCCACTAGAGGTTCCCATCCAGGATATTGGTGACTCTGAGTAAGCTTCCATGTAGGTAAGAATGGACACTGAAGCTAACTGAAATGCCATCATTCTGTGCTTTTCATTAGAATTGTGTCATCTGGCTCAGAGCCTGTGGCTCAAATGGCTAAGTCACCAGCTACGTACACCCAAGGTGGCAGGTTCAAATCCAGCCCTGGCCTGCCAAACAATGACGGCTGCAACCAAAAAATATACCCGGGCATTGTGGCGGGTGCCTGTGGTCCCAGCTACTTGGGAGGCTGAGGCAGGAGACTCGCTTGAGCCCAGGAGTTGGAGGTTGCTGTGAGCTGTGATGTCACAGCACTCTACCCAGGGGGACAGCTTGAGGCTCCGCCTCAAAAAAAAAAAAGAGGTTAATTAGGAGCTTCCACAGGCAGGGTCCCTGATGCCTGGGTCCCTGGGTTCCTCTTCCTGAAGGAAAGCATCCCTCCCACCTGAAAGCAAACAGCTCAGGTGAAGTGTTTCCCTAGACCTTTTTAAACCCACCTGTCCTGAATAAACAGCAATCCCCTGTGCCCCACCCCAGCCCCACTTCCTTTCCATTCTCTCTCCAGCCCCTACTCTGCAGGAGTCTGCAGGAGATACACCTGCAGGTAAGATGGATGAGCTTTACTTTATGAGCTTTAGGAAAGTGATCAAGGTCGTTTTCTTGCTCTTTCCCTCCCCACCATTTTGCAAATAGGTAAGTATAACGTTGAATGTGCTTTCTCAAGCCACACAGGTGCCCCCAAGGTTCTGATGAGGCTCCCTGAAGTGTGGTGCCACCCTGGCTGGCAAGCACGGTGACTTAGTCAGGAGGAATGCAGCTTTCTTGGGTCCCTAAAAAGGAGAGACAGGTGGCTCAGCTGCCAGGGGTGGCATGGGAGGCAGACAGGCACTAGAATAGACTGACCCTGACCAACACTATAGGATGGCCCCATGGTAACCTGCCCCAGGGTAAAACAGAAAGTCCCTGGCAGAGCCTGAGCAGTACTTGCCGCTGGGTCAAGCTGATCGGAGTAACCCAAGACGATGCACCTGATATGATTATCCCTCCCGTTAGACAATGTCTCACAGTTCCCAGGGTGCTTACACATTTGATCCTCATTACAATCCCATGAGGTATGCAAGGCAGTGGGTATTATTGGCTCTGGCTTAAAGAAGCAGACATTGGCTCGGCGCCTGTGGCTCAAGTGGCTAAAGCGCCAGCCACATACACCTAAGGTGGTGGGTTCAACTCTAGCCCGGGCCTGCCAAACAACGATGGCTGCAACGGAAAAAAAAATAGCCAGGTCTGGTGGCGGGCGCCTGTGTTCCCAGCTACTTAGGAGGCAGAAGCAGGAGTCTCGCTTGAGCCCAGGAGTTGGAGGTTGCTGTGAGTTGTGATGCTACAGCACTCTACCCAGGGGGACAGCTTGAGGCTGTCTCAAAAAAAAAAAAAAAAGAAGTGGACACTGAGGTCCACAGGGATCATGTGACTTGTCTGAGGTCAGAAGCTCAAAGCAGGAAACCTCTTTTCCAGGTTCCTAGTCCCATGCTCTTTCCTCCCTGTGTGGGAGCTTTAGCCATGGCCCTGAGGCCCAGGCCCACCCCCTAAAATCCTGATTCAGTTGTTCCAGGCTGGCCTGGGGACTCAAGGCAAATGTTTGAAAAGCTCCATGGGTGATCCCAACAGGCAGCCACCATCAAGGGCCAGACCTGAGCTGTACCTAAGGGCCGCCCCACAGCATTCCTTCCTTATATGGGTCATTGCTGTGCCTGCTTCAAACTATGCATGGTTGGAAAAGCCCGAAGTCTTAGCCCAATTTGTCCCCCAAGCACCAAAGGAAAAAATTAGCAACCCGAAGGTTACAACATAGAGCCATCTGTTCCATATTTCTGTCCCATTCTGGCCATCCTCTGTCTTAGTACAAGCCAGCCCAGATGATAAAATTAATTAAGTGATTCTGGAAGACATAGAATGGCCATTTATGCAAAAACAAATTCACATGTGTATATCCCTTTACATGCAAAAATCTCTGGAAAGATACAGGAGATACTGGAATTAATGATTGCCTCTGAGGAGAGAAGTTGGTATAAGAGGACAGAAAGGTGGAAGGAGGCTAACTTTCCATTATGTACCTTTTGAATCATTTACTGCTAATACAAAAACAAAAAAGGGAAGATTGGGCTTGGCACCTATAGGTCAGCAGCTAGAGTGCCAGCCACATATACCAGGGCTGGTGGTTCAAACTCGGCCCCAGGCCAGCTAAAACAGCAATGACAACAAAAATGTAGCCGGGCATTGTGGCGGGTGCCTGTAGTTACAGCTACTTGGGAGGCTGAGGCAAGAGAATCACTTGGCTTGGCACCTGTGGCTCAAGTGGCTGAGGCGCCAGCCACATACATCCAGGGTGGCGGGTTCGAGTCCAGCCCAGGTCTGCCAAAACAACAATGATGGCTGTAACCAAAAAATAGCCGGGCGTTGTGGTGGGCGCCTGTGGTCCCAGCTGCTTGGGAGGCAGAGGCAGGACACTCGCTTGAGCCCAGGAGTTGGAGGTTGCTGTGAGCTGTGATGCTATGGCACTCTAC